GCTTTCGCATCTGCACAGCTATGCTTTGTTCTGCAGGATGTGTCCGCTCCTGCCTGGGCCCTTCCTCTTGACCAAAAGGATAGAGACCACCTGAGCCCCTGCCCCCTTCACCTCTGCACCCAGAGCCCTGTAGTCACTTTTGGTCTGCTTAGGGTCACCCCTGGCAGTATCATTGGTGCCCACATGGATGAGCAGCATGGGGTAGTAGTCAAAGGGCCAAATGAGTCTCAGTAATCCCTCCGTGACATCTCCGATCCAGGCTCTGGGCAAGCAGCAGACCTCCAGAGATAACAGGTCACGCAGGCAGATGGATGCCTCCATCCCCCACAGAAGGGAGTCTCCAATCACCACCACCCATCACTTCCTCTTGGTAGCAGTGGTCTTGATCCTTCCAACCTTGGGGAGGCCTGTCCTGGCTTCGTTCACTAATGGAACGTGCTCCTCCTCCTCTGTTGCTCCAAATCTCTTCTCCAAGTGAGAAGTTTTTAAGTTTTCTCCATTAAGGATGAACAGAGAATCCATTTCAACAGAGAATCCAATTACTCTGGTCTCCTAAATCCTAAATGGCAGTGTTGGCACTTATGCAATTCTATTACTCATGTAGTATGGACACATAAGCTAATGCCTCGCATAATCTGTGGTATGGTGGTTAGAGCACTGGGATGAAATATCAAAGAGAAGCAAGTTCCAAGGTCCTCTGGCCAAGAGATGGGGTACTAGACACCAGGTCTCCAGCTTCTTGGGCAAACGCTCCAACCAATCTGCTATTAAAGTTACATATGGTAGGGCCCTCACCCTCTCCTTCCTCCTCCTGGTTTTTTTTCAATAACTTATGCTTACATACTTGTGTACCTAGCTATGTACCTGCCTAGCCACTATGTAGCCTAGTAGTGTTGTGGATACTTGTGTATCTACCCTGCACATGTGACACATTCATAAATGATGCTTAAGTTCCCAAAATGTCACAGAATTCTGCCTCCAGAGTACACCTATAGGGGTTTTTCTAGTTATTTCTAGTTACATTTATAGGAGGGTAATGTAAATTCAGATGGAAGGCAGACAAGTGCTTAGAAAGGAAAATGATAACACAAGACTATTTTGTGTGGAAAGCACACCACCACTATATCTTTAAAGACACTATCTTTAAAGCTAAGTATGAAGCTGGTCACTGATTTGAAAACAAGCCGATAAAAACAGATGGCAAGATGTTTCTTTGAGGCTGGAAGGTTCCCAAACCAGATGCAACAGCACGAAAGAACCTTGGATTAAGACCTTTACCTTGTGAATAGAAATTCCAGAATTGATTTAGTAGAACAGGCTAAGACCTTGAAATATTTCTCTGTATAAGTCTGCCCCCGCACCCTTAAACAACTTTTTAAACCCTCCGCTGTACACTTTTTCCTTGAAGTTATACTTTAGGTTAAGACACCTCTGTCCTATTGTTGCTGTCTAGAAGGATGGCAGATTTGCTAACGAATTCTGAGGAAAGAGGTTTTATTTCTTTGATTTCTAGGTCAGTGATGAGGAGGTGATATCTGGAGGTCACACATTTCCCTTTACTACAGGGTGGCCTGTATGGGCTGCCCATGAAATGAGATGCAAGCCTATGCCCCAGGGAGAAAGAGTCCAAACCATCTAGCTGAAGATTTCAGTTCTGCCACAAAGGACTGGCATGGAGACATGTATGCTACATAGCATCAGAGCAGAACATCTGATGACTTCAGAGGTCTAGATGCCACCATGCAGGCATCTCATACAGTCAGCAAAACTAATAGAATCTGAAATTAGCCATCTAATAATGGTAACACAGAGGGAAAATTTCAGTTAGTCACATGAAACAAAAAAGACCTTTAGTACATTATCATCATTCTCCACATCTCTGCTTAAAGAAAAACCCAGTCTACCAGCACACGAACAAAAGTTCTTACTGCAAAACTAGCTCTTCTAATGCCTTTGTACAGGCATTTTTTATCCGGGTTGACCAACAGGGCCAGAAATTTAAATCCTAGCTGAATGACATCTTGAGTAGGCTCCACAGCACTTTGTATATTTTTGTAATGCACCCAGGTTGACAGAGTAGCACCAATTTTAGTATTGTGACAAAATATTCTTTACAAGGTGCTCCTTTAAGAATCAATAATCTAGGAGTTGGAAAATTGAAAAAAAAATTATAGAAAATTGATAAAATGTCAAATAGCATGAGGTCTAATTCCAATAAATCCTCACTAGAAACTCCTCCATTTAATGATGGTTTGTCTATCAACAATTATTTTTGGAAATACGACAGTTGACCAGCTCTTAACATATTTAATGCATTTAACTCATAGTGTATAGTGCTATTTTAATAAGAATTCTGTGCAGTACAAAGTCAGACACCTTTTAAAAAGTCTAAATGTATTACATCTGCACCGTTAACTTGATCAACCAAGCATGTAATTATCTCAAAAACTTAAATTAGACTTGTTTGACAAAACTAATTTTTCACAATGGTCTGATTGCTTACATGACCTTTTACCTAGTCTTTACTCTATATCAACTGAAAACTAGCGGTGCGCCAATACATCAGTCCAGTATCAGATTGGCACAGATATAAAGAAAATGAAGTGCATCAGAAATCGGCTTTTTTTGCCTGATGTGACCAATAAATGCCCCATGCATGCGTGCAGTTGCAGCACAGCACATAGGTGGCAAGGAGCATAGCCCAGCAGCTTGGAGAGCTGCATCTAGTTGGTAAGTCTGTTGTGGTGGAACAGGAGGGGGGAAGGAAGGGGCATGGGGAGGCAGATCGAAGTCCCCACAGTGAGGGAGGGAGTGGGGCAGGGGCAGGCATTGCCTAGCCAGGGCAGGGCATGGGATGGAGCCACAGCTCGTCAGGAGGGGTGGGGAATGGGGGCATGGCAGTTCCTGCCGCTGCACACACCCCAGGAGGGCATGGGGGCATGTGCCTGCAGATCTGCATGGGGCAGGATGGGATGTCACTGCAGGCTGGGGCCAGGGCTGCACTTGGGGTGGGAGGCAGCAGTGCTGGGTGGGGGGGGGGGGGGGGGGGGGGGAAGCTACAGTGAATTTTGGGGTGGCTGCTCCCTGCTGGCTCACAGCCCCACCCCATGCATCCAGTCAAGTACACCCTGCGTATGCAGGTCCTGGGCTGGTCTTCATGGAGACCCTGCCTGCCCACTCTATAGAGCACTGCCAGTGGTGGGTGCAAGGCAGATGGGTTGGGATGACAGGACAGTGGGACCAGGTCTGGAGACAGTGACTGACAGCTATAGCTGGAAGGAGCTGCTGCTATGGGGGCTGCTGGGAACTGAGTCCAGCTGCCACGCTGCTCCTGCTCCATTGCTTGCCTGGGGGTGGGAAGACCAGCCACGTGTATTACAGCCCAGGCTGCCCACCTGAGCTAGGCCATGTGGGACCAAAGGACCCACCACAAACCAGACAAAATCCTTTGGCAGGGTGAATCTGGCCAAGGAATTGTATTTTGCTCACACTTGGTCTATAAGGTGCAAATCTACCCTGCCTTCTGACTGTTTAATATTATCATTAATGATCTGCAGGATGGAATGAAGTCCATGCTTAGCAAATTTGCAGATGATATCAAGCTAGGTGGTGTTGCAGACATTTTGGAGGATAAGATTAGGATTCTGAATGGCTCTGATAAACTGGAAAAACAGTCTGAAACATCAAATTAACAAGTCTCCAAATAGACAAAAGTGGTTATAAAGAGGGTGGCGATAGACTACTCCCTGTTGCTGCAGGGAAGAGAATAAGTACTAATGGTTTTAAAACTGCACCAGGGGAAATTTAGATGGGATATTAGGAAGAACTTTCTAAACTCTGAATGTGATTAAGCACTGGAATAGGCTATCCAGAGAGGTTGTGGAATTTCCCAACCCTGGAAATCTTGACGAGCAGGTTAGACAGATACTTGGCTGGGATGCTTTAAGACAGGGATGATCCTGCCTTGAGCAGGGGGCTGGACAAGATCAGGGCTGTCCAACTAACAGCCTGCAGGCAGCATGCAACCCCCAAAAGATAATTATGTGGCCTGTGAGTGTCTGGAATGGCCACCACTGCACCCTACCTCCCTCCCCCTGCCACTGCTCCTGCCATAGTAGCTGGGCTCTTCAGGCTCCCCTGCTCACCTCTGCTTTTACTTCTTGCCCATGGAGGTGGGAAGGGGCTTGGGTACCTGAGTTGAGTGTGCAGTGTGGGGCCAGAGTGCCCATGTTGTACACAAAGCAAGGGAGGGGACTGGAATGCTTGCACTATTAATGAGAAAGACAGGAGCCAGGCTGCCTACATTGCAGGTGGGTGCATGGCTGGAAAGGAAGGTGCTGCATAGCAGCAGGGGGAAACCAGGCTGCCTGTGCTGCAGGTGTCAGTGGGAAAGGCGTACTCCCCACACAGCACAAATGACTGGGAAAGTAGGGAAGGCAAGGTGTTTGCATGGTGTGTGCCAGATGGAGAGGGACAGGGTGCTCTAAGCTATCCATGTGGCTCTGGAAGGGCTCATGTGGCATGTAGTTCGCAGCTGCCCAGAAGTTGGACAGCCCTGAACTAGATGACCTTCCCTATTTGTTACATATCAGACTTTTATTTCTTATTGCTGCCTTCATTTTGTTATTGTGACATAGTATACAAATACAGCTATGCTGGTAATATGCTCCTAGCACAGACTTACCTATAAACTTCCTGTCCAGTGATTAAGTCTCGTTATTGATCAGAAGTCCAAAATGTATGTACTTCAAACTGGACACAACCCAAACAAGCAGGAGGAAACAGCTTAGAAATTGAATTGGCTGAAAGCATAATGCCATCTGCAACATGGATGCATCCAATACAGTTTTCATGGTGATGATAAAACATCCTAGGGTCCAGAGGTCAGCAACATTTTTGGGGCAGAGTGCCAAAAGCACCAGCAAACAGAGAGAAGCAAACGGGCAAATTAAATGAAAATTGACTGTGCCACGCACCAGTAAAATTCTACTTTGACCTACCTGTTTGAGAGTTGATTGCAGTTAAAGACTCTGGCTTCCCCAAGACAAGGCAGCCTGGGGACTGAGCCCCACCCAACTGTTCAATGCCACACTCCATCCAATGGACATCTTCAGTGACAGGCCTCTCCCAGAGTGTGCTGCCATCAGTGCCTGACACGGCAACAATAAAGGCACATGGAGTAGAAAGGCCTGAACAGAAAAACATGTTTTAGAAATAAAATCCCTTTCTTACCTTGGGTATCACTGTAGATGCAACCATTTCAGCAGAGTACCTGCACCAACCCTGCTCCTCCAGAGACTAGTTTCCTCTTTATATTCACAGCTTCTTTGCCAATTTTCCCTTTTTAATCTGTCATGTCACAAAGAGCTTCCTATTTCTCAACTATGACAAGAGAGCTTCAAGACTGGACATAAGCTCAACAGAAATCAAATGGTAGCTTCCTAGAGAAGTTAACTTGTCTTTGTCAGATAATAACTCCATCCACAGAAGAGATCTGTCACAGCAACCTTACCCTTCAGCATGACACAACCCCCCCCCCCCACCAATTTTCACCAAAAACCTTTTTGAGCCTCCTTAGAGTCACAGTTACCTTCATCCAAGCAGGATCTGTTAAAACTGCTGCTACCATTGGTACTTCTGAAAGCAAAGATAATATCTTGAACTTTGTCTTTGTCCACATCTTCTACAGCCAAAAATGTGTAGGTCACTGCAAAGAGATCACAGACCAAATCCTAGTAAGCACCTAACTTCATAAACAGGATGAAAGAATACAGCAGTAATGCAACTAAATGGAGAAAACTGCATGCCCTTAGAAACCTGATAACTATTCACAACCGCTTTCTTTTGTGAAAGCAACGCCAGAACAGATTAGCATTTCGTTTATAAAAAACACATCTAAATAGGAATGCTCAAGGAAGTCAAAACAAAACCACCAAAGACGTGAAGCCAATGACAATAAGTTAACAACAGCATCAAACCACTATATAAGGGTGTCCTTAGTTTACTGTAGTTTAATCCTGTCCAAATGATAAGTACCTTGTGTTTGAACAGGACCCAGAGCCAGAGCTAAAGCCAGAACCAGAACCACAACTACAGTGTCTCTGCCCCGCCTTGGTGAAGCCCCCTACTGCCAAAATGCTGTAGAAGCCCTCCACTGTTGACACAAGTCTCTCAAGCTCCATGGGCCGAATAAAACAGCTCCATGGCCGGATCCGACTTGCTGACTTCTGTTTTAGGCAAGTCAAACCGTTAAAATAATTTGATAAACAATCTCAATCTCTGGTTTGAGGTATACTTTATTAACGGGTGAACCCATACATGTAATAGCTTCTAATTTACAACTAAGAGGAATTCTTTTTCAGCTTAAAAGAAAGAGGATTTTGTTTCTGATGCTGGAAATGATTGGTTCAATCTCCAAAGACAAATGCGGTGTCTGCGAGTGTGGCCATAATTTGTTAGACGATGCCCACAAGATAAAAAATCTTATTCCACTTCAGAAAAAAGGGAATATGACAATGGTGAGACAGTAAGCTACAAGGGCACAGAAGCACATGCTGTAGCAATAAACAAACTGCTCCCAGATTTCCAGAGACAACTTCAGTAAAAGGATATTTTCCTTCAGATTACAGTGCGTTACTTACAAGTAACAAGATCTCCTTCCCTCGCACTTCCCCTTCACTTATCCAATGCTTGTAAGAGTTTCTTATGGAAAAAGGGTTGCTTTCAAATCTCAGCTCAACATCACTTCAAGGTACATTTTAAGGAGCACTAATATTCAGTAACAAAGGTCTACTCTTTAGAGCACTCACTTTGCCCAAATCAGGCCCACCTGCTGTATTGTTAATGCCTGAGGGCAACACCCTATTTGCCCAACCATAACACACTGCAAACTTAATCAGAAGGCCATTTTGATTAAAAGGAACCACTGTTATATGGAAACCTAAATTAACTGCAGCTCATATGCTCATCAGCAAGACCCCTGCAGGCTGGATTGAGGGCCACATTCTGGCAAGAGTCCCATAATCTGTAGAAAATGACAGTTTAGAAATATTTTTATATAGCAAATTCACCTGCATTTTCATATTTTCTGTGCCACGTCTTTTGTGAAAGAGGCCTCACTGGACAAGGTATGATGAATGAAAAAGCAAACACCACAATAAGACAGAGAAATAATGAGAGGAAGAAGGAAGCAGTTCGCCATCGGGAGAGCTGAGCAAATCGTGTGGGCTTTTTACAGACACTTTCTTTCTCTGTACAATTTTCATGATTCTCTTGTGCTTTCCCATCCTCATTCTTTAGAGGGTGGATTTCTGCTTCCAAGTCTTTGCTGTCCATCATAGGTTATTCATGAGTTTTCAATAACTTTGGTCACCTGCAGCAACAGAAAGGAGAGTTAAAATAGGATTTGGGATATATCAAATGAAGCAAGTTATTGAATACTCAGGTCTCCATCAGGGGCTGGCAGATGTTCACTAAATGGTATAAGGGGCTCTGATCCCCAGTCCTAACAACTATACCTCCTGCCATGCCACATATTCATCGCAGGAGGTACAACTGTTAGGACTGGGGGCCAGATCCCAATCGTGCGACTGCCAAAAGGGAGTTAAGGGCACAGGTCTGTACATGCTTGCCGGGGGAAGGGGGCAGAAGGGTTTCATAGTAGGTAGGGTCGGAAGGTTACCTGAGCAGATCATCAAGTCCGACCCCCTGCCACGGGCAGGAAAGAATGCTGAGGTCGAACAACCCCGGCTAGGTGATTATCTAGCCTCCTTCTGAAGACCCCCAGGGTAGGAGCAAGCACCACTTCCCATGGAAGCTGGTTCCTGATTATAGCCGCCATGACTGTGAAGTAGTGCCTCCTGATGTCTAGCCTGAATCTGTTCTCAGGCAACTTATGGCCGTTATTCCTCGTTACTCCCAGTAATGCTCGGGATAACAGGGACTCTCCCATAGCCTGTTGGTCCCCCTCGGCGAGTTTGTCCCCCTCTCAGCATTCTCTTGTGGAGGCTAAACAGGTTCAGGTCCTGCAGCCTCCACTCATAGGGCCTGCCTTGCTGCCCCCTGATCATGCGAGTGG